ATCCTCCATGAGGCCCACTACCTGCTCCCTGGACCCCAGCCCCACCCCTCTCCTTAAATCCCAGCTCCACCTCCTTGCCCCACTTGCCGACCTTACCAACCCCTCCCTGTCATCTGGCACTGTTCCTTCCCCCCTAAAAACAGCCATCATCACCCCTACCTTGAAGAAACCTTCATTGACCCATCACAGCTATCTAGCTACCAGCCCATCTCAAACCTCCCTTTCTTACCCAAGGTCCTTGAGAGACCTGTTGCCTCCCAGCTTCGCTCTTTCCTCTCCTCCCACTCCCTCCATGAACCCCTCCAATCGGGTTTCTGTGCTGCCGACAGCACGGAAACTGTTCCAGTCAAGGTCACAAATGACATGCTGACCATATGCAACCAGGGCTTCTTCTGTCTCCTCGTCCTCCTCGACTTCTCCGCTGCCTTTGACACCGTGGACCACTCAATCCTCCTCCACCGCTTCTCCTCCCACCTCAACCTTCAAGGTCCTGTCCTTGACTGGTTCAGGTCCTATCTTTCACACCGCCTCCATTTCATCGCAGCAAACAGCTTCTCCTCCAGCCCCCGCACCATCTTGTGCGGTATTCCTCAGGGCTCTGTCCTCGGTCCCCTCCTCTTCACCTTCTACATGCTCCCCCTTGGTGACGTCATCCGCAGACATGGGGTAAATTTCCACATGTATGCGGATGACACCCAACTTTATCTCTCTGCCTCCACCCTGAACTCCAGGACAACTGGCTTCCTGACCGACTGCCTGTCCGACATCAAGTCTTGAATGAGGGACAACTTTCTGCAACTCAACGTCAGCAAGACTGAGACTCTTCTGATTGGCTCACTCCAACACCTCCGTACCTCAGGCGCTGGAAGCATCAGCCTCCATGGCTGCACACTCAACCTCACTAAACCAGTCAGGAACCTGGGTGTCTTGTTTGACCCTGAGCTGTCCTTTCTCCCGCAAATCCGCAAATGACATCCTGACCATGTGTGATCTGCACTGCCTACCACCACCTCCGCAACATTGTCAGACTGTGCCACTGCCTCACCCTTTAGGCTGCGGAAACCCACATATTTAGAATACAGTCTATTCTGTGAAGTGCTTTGAGACGTCGAGAAGACGTGAAAAGCGCTATATCAAATGCAAGGATTATTATTATTATTAGTTGTCACATCAAGGCTCTCTCCTCATGAACCTTCCCAACTCTTCCCTTCACAAGCTGCAGATCATCCAAAACTCTGCAGCTCGTGTATTCTCACGCACCAGGCTCCGTGACCCCATCACTCCTACTCCCTCCGTTCAGCAGGCTCCGGTCTGCTTCATGTCTTCTGCCCGACCCGCCCGACAAACTCTGGCTGGGCTTTCAGCCTCTCTGCCTCACACTCTGAAACTCCATCACACAGTCCCTTTGCCTTGCTTCCTCCCTTGTCTCCTTCAAGGCCGATTTCAAGACCCTTCTCTTCGATCGTGCCCTTGGTCTCCCTCCCACACCTCTCTGCCTTCCCTCACCCCTACATCACCCCTCCTCCACGCTCGAGCCCTGACACCTGACTGTTCAGGGCTTTGGGACGTCCTCCCGACGTGAAAGGTGCTCTATAAATGTAATTTTGTTGTTATTGTTGTAAAATCCTTTGTGTCATATATATCCCGAATGGGGTTTAGAACACAGCATTCATAATAGAAAGGTGCAAGTTGCGACTACTGCCAATAGAAGGAAATGGGTCAGACTCCTCTCTGAGGCATTGTGCGTCCGATTGTGTTGGAGTCCAGTACAGTTCCTGTAGGTCAGTTTGATGCACTGCTAGTAACAGCGAGGAGTTAATGTTAGTTGCATCCTGTTACACATACTGCATTTTCACCCCAGTCAGTAATTTACACATTGCACCATTTCTGCATTCATCTTGTGTATGTGCTTAAGTGGAACCTCGGTGAAGATTGCTGTTTGATAGCTCCAGAAGACTGTCTAATTTAAGGAATTTAATAGTGACATGTATGCTGAATAGACTTCTGTTTGATAAAATTGGTACTTTCAGCCAAACGTGAAAATGATTATTGATTTTTACATTGTTGTTCTCTTAAACCTTTAAAGATATTTGTGTGTGTGTACCCCTACGCTCCCTGGCCCCTCCCTTTCTGATTCCAACACCCTGCTCGGGTCCAAATCATTGATATCCCAGCACCTTGGGATGTCCTCCCGACATGAAAGGCGTTATACAAATGTAATTTTTTTTTTGTAATTCAGCTACTGCTTTGCAATGACATCATCAACCAAACCCAAACTACTAGAATGATAAGGTAGCACGCACACATTGTTTCACTGGGCAAGTAACACAAATTGATAAAAGTGGCAGAAAAGCAAGCTGGTGTTTTGAAGAATGGTTGTTTTCTTTCAGCCTCAATTCATCTACGAAATTGAACTTCCCACCTCATTTTTCGATGTTTTAAGTGTGGTGGGGGTTGGTAGGACCAAATGTGTGCTCTGCAATTGAATGGTAGTACTGATGGGGAAATTGCACAATTTCCCATCTGTGGTACTAGTCTCAGCATTCCCAGGTCTAGTACCTGGGAGTCCTGTAGCTTGGTGGTTAGAGCACTCACCTCGCAAACGAGAGACCTGAGTTTGATTCCCAGGAGGGCAAAATGTTGGTCAAGTTTCCTTACTCCTCTGTTTACACCTCTGTTTACCTAGTAGTAAGTAGGAACCCGGTTGTTAGTCGATTGGTTGGTGGATCACTTTCCTGGGGAATTCCTTCCCCAAAAAATAATAATAATATCACTCAATCCACGACTGTTGGTGGGACACTGCTGTACGCAATAAATTGGCTGCCGCGTTTCACCCACAAAATAAATATACAGTCAATTCTGGGAAGCGCTTTCAGACATCTCGAAGATGTGATAAGGTGCTATATCAAATGCAAGGACTATTATTATTATTATTGCCTCACATTTCAGGGAGTGCAGTGAACTACCCCCACCAGAAACTGGGCTGAGCTCCTTAGATCTGCTCAGGTGGCTTCCTTACAGTTAACATGCACAGGAGACTTTTATCTCCTCTGTCTGTACTGGATACAAACCAAGGTCCTGATGGTGATTGTTCAGTCACTTCCATTTGTTCATTTGAAAGCCTGAGAATGTTTAGGAGGCAACAAGCTAGTCTGCCTAAAGGCTCTGCCTGCAACAAACTGCAAGGGTATTAAACATGTTTATGGCTCATTGGTGAAAAATAAAATCAGTCTGCATGTGTTTCTGCAAAAGATATACAAGATCCATAAACATGGTGAGGCAATTCATTCGGTGGCAATGATTTGAAAGCACTCAGTACAAGATGCTGTACTTATAAGGTAGCTTATGAGTGCACTCCTTCATAGCATTGTGGACTCAGTTTGGAACTCTGAGACAAAGGTTAACCCCTTTCTCTGTGGAAATAAAGGATTATAATCATGCAACAACAACAACTTGCATTCATATAGGACCCTTCATGCCAAATGGCATCTCGGAATGCCTAAAACACCTGAGATTTTTCAATCTGCATTTGAATGAAAGTTTCAGGTTTGGCCTGAAGAGATGCTTTAATGTGTTAAATTCCCTTTTCAACTGAACTGCTTTGTACGGTATTTTTTAACAAACTGGTCTTCCATCCCATCAACCCCTTTCCCCTCACCTCCCACCCCCCTGTGGTAAAAGATCACAAAACTGCTCATTTGAAAGCCTTGCTAAATGCCCCAAAAGGATGGTAGAAAATGGATTTTGGAACTAAAATTAAATGCTTTTTGCAGTCAGAACCTTCCCTGGGGTGAAATCATCATTGTGACGTCCACTTCAGTATTAGTTCACTTCAAAGTATTTGCGGTTTAATTGGCAGTCGACATGCTAAGATCCACAGTCCATTCTAAAGTGATTTCAGGATCTGAAACTTTCTGGAGAGCACTGTCAGCACTGGCTTTCAGATGTTTGCTTGGAGGAGAGCTGTTCATGGACCTGAGCTGAAATGGTCTCAGCAGATTTGCAACTGTTCTGAGCCAGTTGTCACTTGGACTTCACAGCACAAGATTGGTAATGTCAGCTAAGGTAACATAGCGCCAGGATGTCTCAGACTGTGTATCAGGATTGTGTTGACATGACAGATGTTGTTCCATTTTTTTAAAAAAAGTGGATTTCATTGCATCTGGTGATTCGACACTGTCATGTCAGCCTCATGTTTGAATATTGTTTGCTGTTTCTCACCTGATTCTTTTCTTGCAGAATGATTCAGTCTAACTAGTAATGATGAATAGCTTCCCCAATGTTTTTTTTAAAGTAATGAGATGCCGGTGAAGACCATTAATCTATTCTCTTTTCTCCTTCGTTTTTTTCTTCTCTCTTCCAATGCCTAAAATAGAAGTGGAGCAGAAAGGTAAACAAAAATACTGTTACAAATTTCCACACCCTGTTGTGCATTTACCTTATTAACCCTTTGAGGGAAAACCCGTTGTTCTCGTCCTCATTGTATAGATGTTTAACAAAGTGTAGGTGAGCCACGATCCATTCTGTTGCTTGTTAACAGCAGGACACATTTTATTTCATGACTTACACATTTTCTGCTTTATTAAAAGCGATCGGTTTATTTAAGACTGAAGTGTATCCCTGCTTTACTTCCTCCCCAAAGTCACCTCCCATTATCATGCCTCTCTTTTTTTGTTGTTTCTCACCCTCTTAAACTATTGTCGTTTTTTAGATTTTATTTCAAAACTGATAACGACACATTTCACAAAAGTGCAACGTGAAGTTCATATAAATTAATTGTTGTGTGGAGCGTTACTGAAGGAAGGAGAATGAAGTACTTGTATTTTAGGAGTTTCAAAATTTGTAACAATTGATTTTGTTTGCAACTGATAATTGGAGCTAAGGAAAGTTTTGAATGTAGTCTTTTTATGGAGGTTACCTTCAAGTGAAAGAAATAGCCAGTGAGTATAATACTCTTTCTGGGGTTACTAATGTATTTGTCTTCTCTTCTGTTTCTACAGTATTCTTATGTCCTGGGACACTTAAGGCAGTTTATCAGATGGACCACTTGTTTGAGTCTGATCACCAGTCAGGAGCCTGGTGCAAAGACCCACTCCAAGCTTCAGACAAGGTCTACTACATGCCTTGGACACCGTATAGAACAGATACGCTAACTGAATATTCCTCAATGGAGGATTTTATTGCCGGACGTCCGACCATCACCTACAAACTTCCACACCGGGTGGATGGAACCGGGTTCGTAGTGTATGACGGTGCTTTGTTCTTCAACAAGGAGCGCACAAGAAATATCGTCAAGTTTGATCTTAGGACTAGGATTAAGAGTGGCGAGGCTATCATAGCCAACGCCAATTACCACGACACATCCCCATACCGCTGGGGCGGGAAGTCTGACATCGACCTCGCGGTGGATGAAAATGGTTTGTGGGTCATTTATGCGACGGAGCAGAACAATGGCAAAATCGTGATTAGTCAGTTAAATCCCTACACTTTGAGAATCGAGGGCACTTGGAATACAGCTTACGACAAGAGGTCAGCTTCAAATGCTTTCATGATCTGCGGTATTTTGTATGTGGTGAAATCAGTGTATGAAGATGATGACAACGAGGCCACTGGGAACAAGATAGACTACGTCTACAACACTGATCTAAGCAAGGATGGGCTTGTGGACATCTCCTTTCCCAATTCCTACCAGTACATTGCAGCAGTGGATTACAACCCCCGAGACCACAAACTCTACGTCTGGAATAATTTCCATGTCCTGAAGTATTCGCTTTTGTTTGGTTTGCTGAACGCCAAAACAGGTACATACTGTTGATTAAATCCCACTAGACTGAGTCCACTTTGGTGGAGATTCATTGTGCGTGTTGAAGCTTTACACAAAAAATTGCAAATGTGCCGTAACGCTTCTCACTCACGTTGAGATTATGCTTCCTTGGACATTTGCAAACAGAAATGTCCAGTACAAAAGGAAACCACAAAAGCTACTTTGGGTAATGATTTCCAAACTCTTGTAACTAAGGCTTCGATTCTGTTGAGGAAACCGCAACTTTTCAGACAGATTGCAACTTTTTGTAGCTGCCGCCAACTTTTAATGGTTACAGTGAGACGCACTCCCATTGCACCATACGCGTGTCCGTCAATCCATCTTGTGCTCTCATTGGGCTATTCACTCAGTGAGAGCGCAACAACAACACCAGCAACTTACATTTATGTAGCGCCCTTCACGCGGGGAAGCATCCCAGAGCGCAGGATGATAGCATGGTCCATTTAGAAATCGGGACGGGTTTATCGACAGGTGTATAGTCAAATGTGAGTGCATACTTACTCACTGACAGTACTTGAACTTGAAATGATCGCACCAAAACTCCAACTTTAATAAACTGTGGCTGCAACTGTTAGAGCAAAAAATCATGACTTTCTTGCAAAACGCAAAATACTGCAGATTCTGGAAATCTGAAACAAAAACAGAAGTCCCTGGGAACACTCAGCAGGTCAGGCAGCATCTATGGAGAAAGGAAAGTGAGTCAATGTTTTGGGTCCACGACCGTTTGTCAGAACCCTCCTGATGAAGGATCATGGACCTGAAACAGTGATTCACTCTCCTTTCTCCATAGATGACTTTCTTACAGCCTTGCTTATAACTCTCTGAGTGACGATATTTCTGCTAAACTCCTCTATATTTTCTACAAACAATCCTGAGACTATGCTTCCTTGCAAACATTTTCCCCAGTTACCCTGTAATGAGTCTTCAGAATTTCCACCATATTCTCTCTTAAATTATGTCTGCAGCATCTTCTTCATATATATTCTGTGTCCGTTTGATCTCATACCCGATGTCATCCTTGTGAATCTTTGGTGCAGCATCCTCTCCATCTCTTGTCTTTCCTGTAATAAGGAGCCCAAAACGAAATACAGTATTCTAAATATTCTAACCAAATACAGCCAAACCAAAATCCTGTACAATTCCAGTACAGTTACAATGCTAAAATATCAATACCCAGTTTATGAATCCCATAAACCCATTTGCTTTCTCGATATCTTTTTGTATCTGTCGTCTCACTCGCAATGTTAAATGTATTCACGCACTCCGGGACTCTACCTCACGTGAAGGGTTCTATATAAATGCAAGTTGTTGTTGTTGTATTAGTACCCCCAGGTGCCTCTGCTCCTCCACTCCATTGAGTATTTCACCCTCCAGGATGCTAGCTGCCCTCTGGTGTTTTGTGCAAGTAGTTAATCTTGCATTTTAAGGCTCCTTCAGCCAACACCTCCATATGTGCATTTTCAGCAATGTCTATCGTCATGAGTGGGAACCCTGACTGATTTTCACTCGCTAGCCCAGACGTGGTCACTGTTGATGGTCAGTTGTTTTAATTTAGCTCAGTGGTTAAAGCATTCGCCTCACAAGCGAGAGGACCTAGGTTTGATTCCTGGGCAGGACAAAACTTTTCTGGCGGTAATTAAAAAAACATAATGATTTGGTCACTCAATCCACGACTGTTTGTCAGAGACTGCTGGGCCCAATTGGCTGCCGCATTTCGCCCACAAAATACACAGTCAATTCACTTTACAGTATATTCTGTGAAGCGCTTTGAGATGTTTTGAAGACGTGATGTGTATAGCTATCAAATGCAAGGATTGTTATTGGTGGTCAGGCCAATTGTACCATTCTTCACTTCCATGCATTTAAGAACAACTGGCTCGTCACAGCCCAGAGATTGAATATGGGACCTTCCCAGTCTGCACGCCTCAGTCACGCAGTGGTCATTTATTTTTGTCAATGGAACATGGGGGGTGGAGGGGAGGAGAGTAACTTTCTGAGGTTTCTTTTTAGTTAGTTATTCTATACGCTCACTATTGCTGTTGTTGCCAAACCTGTCCCCTCCATGAGTTTGATTGAAGGAACCAAATGAAAATGTGCAGCTTGACATTAAGATTAGAAATCCAACAGTATCCATCATAGGGTTTACATTCAGGTCACATAGAATCCTAATCAAGAGTCTGTGAATACGACAAAAAAGTTGGAACCCAAAAGGAGCAGAGAATTATATTACCAGTAATCTTTAAGCCAATTAATCAGTTCATATTTCAAATGCCCTGCGCTATGAAACGTAAAAGATCTATTAAATTAGACAGTAAATAGATTTGAATTGACCCTGTTTGCGATTATTTGTTTGGTTGATTCAGGAGAGCTCTGTAACAGTTGGTAACTTGGTTTATGGACCAGTCGGTGTTTCACCAGAAGTGTTCTTGATGGATCATTCAAACCTTGGTAGCTGGGAGATCCAGATTGGCAGCCCCTTACATTGGCCGTTAGCAACTGTGCCACAGTTGGGAGTTGACAAGAAAGACAAAATGAACTGTGGGAATGATATTAATCAATCTGCAGCGTTTTGTCTCTTATTTCATAGAATCATAGAATGTTACGGCACAGAAGGAGGTCATTCGGCCCATCGAGTCTGTGCCGGCTCTTTGACAGAGCAACTGACTTTTATTAACCCCACTCACCAGCTTTCTCCCCATAACCCTGCAAACCTGTCTTCTCCAGATACCTATCCAGTTCTTTCTTAAAAGCTGTTATTGAATCGGACTGCACTGCCCTTTCGGGCAGATCATTCCAAATTCTAACAACTCGCTGAGTGAAAACATTTCTTCTAATCTCCCCTCTGCTTCTTTTGGTAGATATCTTAAGACTGTGACCATGAGTCACAGACACACCTACCAGCGGAAACAGCTTTTCCCTATCTAGCCTGTCGAAACCTTTCATGATCTTGAAGACCTCTATCAGGTCCCCGCGTAACCTTCTCTGCTCTAATGGGAAAAGTCCTAACTTTTCCAGCCTGTCCTCATAGCTAAGCTTCCCCATTCCTGGTATCATTCTCGTGAATCTCCTCTGCACCCTTTCCAATGCCTTAATGTCCTTCCTGAGGTAAGGTGCCCAGAACTGGACGCAGTACTCCAGCTGAGGCCTAACCAGTGTTTTATACAGATTAAGCATAACCTCCCTACTCTTATACTCTATGCCCCTACTAATGAAGTGGCACCAAATGCCCTTTTTACTGCCCTATTTACCTGCTCTGCCACCTTCAATGAATCGCTTACTTGAACGCCCAGATCTCTCTTAAGATTGAGCTACCAAGCCTATATTGCCTCCTATCATTTTTCCTACCTAAGTGTATCATCTCGCACTTGTCTACATTGAAATCCATCTGCCACATGTCAGCCCATTCCACCATTCTGTGTATGTCTGCCTGCAGTCCGTCACAATCTTCTTCACTATTTACTACCCTACCTAACTTGGTATCATCTGCAAACTTGGAAATAGTGCTCTCTATGCCCAAGTCCAGATCATTAATATATATTAGAAAGAGCAGTGGTCCCAATACCGATCCCTGGGGGACACCGCTGCACACCTCCTTCCATTGCAAGAAACACCCATTAACCACCACCCTCTGCATTCTGTCACTCAGCCAGTTCCTAATCCAAACGTCTATTGTCCCCTTAATACCGTGGGCCTCCAGTTTTTTCATTAACCTCTTATGAGGTACTGTGTCAAAAGCCTTTTTAAAATCCATGTAACTAATGTCCACCGCATTTCCCTCATCAACCCTCGCAGTCACCTCTTCAAAAAATTCTATTAGATTTGTTAGGCAAGATTTGCCTTTAACAAATCCATGTTGGCTGTCTCTAATTACCTCGTGTTCCTCTAAGTAGAGATTTATTTTGTCCCGGATTACGGTCTCCAGTAGCTTTCCTATTACCGAAGTTAGGCTGACTGGCCTGTAATTTCCAGTTTGTCTTTCTGCCCCTTTTTGAAGAGTGGGGTAACATTAGCTACTCTCCAGTCTCTTGGTACCACTCCTGTGTCCAATGACGATTGAAATATAATGGCCTAAGCCTCCGCTATTTGAACCTGTATCTCCCACAGCAACCTTGGGTGAAACCCATCTGGTCCTGGTGACTTATCAATATTTCACTAAATTTAATAGAATTGGGAAAAAACAATTATTTTGGGCATGGCGATCAGATTAACAAGATCGCAGTTCTTTATACCAGTGTGAATTAAACTGAACTGCTTTTTAGGAGCTGTCAAGCCTCTCCTGTGTTGGTACAAACTACTGACATAGAACATAACTGGAAGAGAATGTTTCCTTTAGGACAGTCTTTTGGAGATAACCTGAATGTGGGAGCATGTAACCATTCTCCCATCATTCTTTCCTCTCAAAGTTTTCGAAGGTTTTGTCACATCCCATTTCTCAGGATACGTGTGAGTGCCAGGGGTGCCAATCTTAGGGCACACTTCATCCTATTACTCTGTCATTGTGTTCTGATGAGATCTTTCTGGAAAGTAAAGTGCTCCAAATATGCTATCAAATCATTCTGTGTAGTGTGTTACACATCACACGTCTGTGAACAGGATTGAATGAAGTTCTGCAGCTTGTGCTTGTTCCCAGATGCCAAGTGGAAGAGAGAGGAATAATATCATTGTACATGGTTTCCAACATGCTGCAAATGTAGAAATTCCTGTTGTCACATGAGCTAAAATGGTCGAGTGGGCTGTTTTGATGTTAACCAAGACAGAGGGAGGGTTGCTACATTTTATTGTTTTACTTGAATGCTTTTTTTGTACTTAAAGCTCAGGTGACTTCCTGCAGGAATGCTTATCAGTCAGTACTGGTGAATAGAATAGTTTGATTTTTACACTGGTTGCCGAGCGACAGAACCAGTTCACTCATGAATGCAGCCAAAAGCGGAGCCGTTCTGCTTGCTGGCCCAACAACGTACATTAACCCCAACCCTT